ATCATCACCATCATAACCTCCACCATCATCACCATTATAATCATCACCATCATAACCTCCACCATCATCACCATTATAATCATCACCATCATAACCTCCACCATCATCACCATCATAACCTCCACCATCATCACCATTATAATCATCACCATCATAACCTCCACCATCATCACCATTATAATCATCACCATCATAACCTCCACTATCATTACCATTATAACCACCATCATCACCATTATAATCATCACCATCATAACCTCCACCATCATCACCATTATAATCATCACCATCATAACCTCCACCATCATTACCATTATAATCATCATAATTGTTCATCTTAATGCCAGTATTTCGATAACTGAGTGTGATGTTTCTGATGTTATAAAGGTGAAGAAAAAAGCAATGATTACTGAACTCTCGTTGGAAAAGAAAATGGAAGAATTCCGAAGGTTCGTAAACTTTAATGAATAATTGCATTGGTAAAATATATAAATTATTTGAACGAAGTATGGGTTGTATCCAAGAGGTTGGTTGAAGAATATCACGGCATGAAAATATGGAAAATATGTCTACATTTCGTGCTCTTCATCTGAAAGTGAGTTGCCAGTAAGTGAGTTTTTCAAAACTATTCTATAACATTTGCAATTTTTCAGTAAGCAAGCGTTGTACCAAGGACTCAGTTTTCCCTCAATTATTGGCTTTGGTGAAAATGGCGCTGTAATTCATTACAGGTGAGTGCAGACTGCTTCCTTTTATCATTTCATCATAAACACTCCTATGACCAAAAAGCTAATTGCTATATTGAATCTTTTTGTCAGAGCATCAAACGAGACCAACAAACCAGTTACAGATGAAAGTACTCTTTTGGTTGATACAGGCTCGCAATACCTGTAAGAATCTAATTGCTGTTTGTTTGTTTGTTTGTTTGTTTGTTTGTTTGTTTGTTTGTTTGTTTGTTTGTTTGTTTGTTTGTTTGTTTGTTTGTTTGTTTGTTTGTTTGTTTGTTTGTTTGTTTGTTTGTTTGTTTGTTTGTTTGTTTGTTTGTTTGTTTGTTTGTTTGTTTGTTTGTTTGTTTGTTTGTTTGTTTGTTTGTTTGTTTGTTTGTTTGTTTCAAATTGTTTGTTTGTTTGTTTAGCTGTTTAGCTTAGTATCTTCTTAATTTCTTTTTCTTAACTTCTTTAACTCTTCCATACATATATTATTGTTAACAGCGATGGTAGCACAGATGTGACCCGAACTGTTCATTTTGGAACACCAAGTGCAGATCAAAAGGTAAGAGATACTTCACCATCATCGCTATCACGATCGTCATTATCTCCACCGTTAACATCACCATCATCATCACTATCACCATCATGATCATCATTGCCATGATCATCATCATCACTATCGTGATCACCATTACCATGATCATCACCATCATCACTACCATGATCATCATAATCATACCATCACCATCATAATCACACCACTATCGTCATCATCACTGCTATCACCAAATAATGTTCTGTTCTATTGTTAATTAGAGTGCTTTCACCCGTGTTTTGATTGGACAAATTGATCTGGCTATGGCTTTCTTTCCTTATGGAACATATGGTATGAGAATATTTGTGATGTATAAACTAACGAACTTTATTTACACTGGATAGCTTTATCAGTTCTATTATATAAACAGTTTTCCCCGAATGCTACTACAGGATAAACAGCCGTAGAAAACCCGCGATGTTTGGTAGAGTGGAAGCACTCTTCTCTCATGTGACTGAGGTGAAATTATAACCATGCAATGCGCACGCAGTAACACTGTGTGAGCCAAAACTAAGTTATGCCATATATAATTCTAGGGCGTGCGGTCGACATCTTAGCTCGTCAGGCACTCTTTCGAAATGGTTGGAATTATCGTCATGGTACAGGTCATGGAATTGGGTCATATCTCTATATTCATGAAGGTGAATTTACAAGTACACACATCAAAACTCGCTGTTTTTCACACTGACTTGAGCAAATTTAATGTATTTCTATTTTCTATCCAACAGGTCCTGGCCGTATAACTAGTGGCTGCCCCGCTGCGTATGAGAAACCTTTGGAAATAGGATTCGTTTTGTCTGACGGTGAGTGCAGGAATTAACAGAGTAAAAATCTTCTAAACTAAACTAATTTTATTTATACTGGATAGTGTACTGGGATTGCCAGTAAATGAGGCGAAAAACAGGTTTCAACTCACTTTAATTATAAAAATATACGGAAAATTACAAAATAGTAATTAGTGGTAAAACACTGTTTTCCTTCGCACGCCATATTAGCTCTTATGCGCATGCTCTAACAAAACGTAAAAAACATCGTTCAAAAGGCGATCGCAGAGATTATTG